GGAATTTTATGAAAACCTCTCTATCTAAATCATCTTTTTCTCATTCGATCTTCAATACTAACATCAGCCCTTGCTTTACCAAACTCATTGTGGAACAAAACTCATGTTATTCCATATCCACCACTAATGATTATGTAGATAGCTGGTACGCTCAGATCAATCATGCAATTCTTTCATCATGCGCTCAGAAAACTAAAAGACGCCAGCAACTTCCCTATTATTATTCGTCGCATACAGTTCATTTACTGAATAAGCATCATTCCATATCTAAACGGACAGCCAACACAAATCATTTAGCTTCGATCCAACAAGACCTTAACAATTCAATCGAATTGGATAAAACTTGTCTCCTTGAATCTTTAAGACCAAATTCTACCCGTGATTGCTTTAAATACCTTCGATCTTTTACCAGAAGGAAACTACCAAACCAAATGCACTGGATGAATAGAAAAGCATCCACTTCTATTGAAATAGCCATTCTTTTGAACGATTACTTCTGTTCAGTGTTTCTAGAAAAGCATGAAATTCAAATCTTACAACCCGAAAAACCCACCATTTTTCTATCCGATCTCCATGTCAACCTTAAAAAGGTCGAGAAAGCTCTCAAATTTGCTAAAACTTCTTGTATTACCAACGACCGCCTCCCAACCTTTATTCTTAACTACTGCAGTGAATTAATATCTCCTCTAGTCGTGCAGCTCTTTGTCAAGGTTTTGGAAACTAAAACGTGGCCAGAACTTTGGAAATGTGCGTTTATTACGCCAGTTCTTAAATCTAGTAATCCCGAAAATGTTGAAAATTATCGCCCGATTAGCATATTGCCTCAATTATCGATTGTTCTGGAGAGAATGATCTTCGATTTCATTTATCCTAAAATTCGGGCTAAAGTTACACCTGCTCAACATGGTTTTATGACCAAGCGATCGACTGTTACTCAGCTTCTTGAATACCTAGATCAGATTTATAACGACGTCGAGGCAAAAAGCGAATGTCTTTCTGTGTACTTCGATTTTCGCAAGGCTTTTGATCAAGTTCCTCATCATATACTTATTTTGAAACTTGGTAATTTAGGCTTTGACGTTAGCTTTCTTGAACTTTTTGCTTCCTATCTCACAAACCGCACGCAAAATGTCTTAATTAACAATGAAGCATCTCCAAAAGGCCATGTAACAAGTGGTGTTCCGCAAGGAAGTGTACTCGGCCCTTTACTATTTATACTCTTCATTAATGACATGCCAGCTGTCTTGAAAACCTCTAAATGTTTTCTGTTTGCTGATGACAGCAAACTCTATTCAAAATATGACCTTTCCTTAGTTCAAATAGACATTGATCTATTTATCAATTGGACGCTTGAAAACGAAATGACATTTAATTCTGATAAATGCAAAGTTATTTGTTTTAACTCAACTTCCCCCAAATCTACACTTTGCCTTAATGATTACCCAATTCCGTCAGTTTCATCTATCAAAGATCTCGGAGTAACGATATCTAGTGATTTAAAGTGGGACATCCACATTAAAACCAAACTGGTTGCAGTTAACAAAGCTTTCCATTTCTTGAAACGTTCAATCCCTTATGGAGTATCCATGAGAACCAAATTCAAATATTACCAGCTATGTATTGTGAGTATTTTATTATTATATTTTATATTTTTTATTATTTTATTGTGAGTATAGTCAGGTCTGGTTTCCATCTTTAACATATCGCCGCAAACTAGAATTATTTAACAGAAAATGTTTGAAATGGGTAACGGGAGTCAACGACTATACAGAACAACTTAGAAAAACGAATTCCTTGCCAATTTCCTTCACTATAGCTTTACATGATATGTGTTTTCTTAATCGAGTCCTGACTGATCAATTTGATTTCAACCTTTACAGATACATAAATTTTACCTTTGCAGCCAAAGACCTTCGCAATAGCTCACGCCCTAAGCTTTCAACAACCCAGAATTGTCGACTCTTCTTTACAGAGCAATTTTTCTTCTATCGCGTCTGTCGGTATGCCAACATGATTTCAGCAAACAACATAGCCGACATTTTCTCATCGCCTGAAATTTTCAAAGCAAAATTGAAAATCTATCTGAAAAATAGAATTGATATGTTCAACTTAAACAACTCTTGTTCAATGCTACTTTGTTGCCATTGCATAAATTGCCGTTCGTGATGTCTTGTGTACATAATCATACCATTTCTTTTGTTTGATGCCTTTATATTTTAAAGGGAATAAATTCTTTTAGTAGTAGTAGTAGTAGTTTAATTATCTGATTAATGTGTTTAAATGCGCATTTTAAGGTATTTCGAAGGTTTGGAAAGTTAATTTGAATTCATGAAACAATAGAAATTAGCATTGGGAAATATAGATTGATTTCATTTGTATATTTCCCTTTTCATTTTTTGGCGTTTAGGTTTTTGACGAATCAGATTCAGTATCAATTCCTCCAGATTCAGTTTTTTATTTAGTTTTTTCATTGGCAGAGTATGAAGTTAAGTTATCCAGATGTAATTTGCACCCCACAACTATTAAATATTTTTGTGTTTTATAGACGCGATATGATCAGAATTTTACTTAAAATCTTGTTTATAGCGGGAGTTATCGGTGGTCACCAGATTGAGCTGAATGATCCCGTTAAATCATTAGATTCCTTGGAGATGGTTGTAATGCACTCAGTGACTAAATCTTATATTTTTCCAATGCCGGTCACCTTCAATTTCGTTAGCCAGAAAATGCCAAATGATAAAGAAGGCGAATCTGCGGAGAATGTAGCAGTGGTGGTAGACATCTACGAAAAGTCGGTTTCAATATGGGCGCAAGTAAGTTCGGGTTTTCACACCTATGATCTATCATTATGTACGGTGAAGTGCTGAACGGGCTGATAGATAAATAGATAATTGTTTTTTTTTTTAAAATAATGCATATTAGTTGTAGTGTAAAATAGGTTTAAGGCTTAATCGTTCGGAATAAATTTATTGGCATTTTTTCTTAGGGATAAATGGGCGTCTACCTACGTTTTGTCGGCTTAGTGGGCGCTCGGTAAATTCTGAAAGCCTATTTTATTCGGGTGTTAGTGTTTCTCCTATGTTTTTGAAATCACCTTTTTCTTTGTTTCCAGTTTTTTATTCAGTTAGTGCTGTTGTGAGGAGGGACGGTTGAAGTAAATACTTTTAATGACAATGCATTAAATGATGACTTGACTTAATTCCTGCAATATTGTTTATTGATGTATTTATATAGTGCTGGTATGGGCCCTATCCAGCTTGTGCACGACCGTACCTAAACGGAAGGGCCCCTTTTATAATTTACTTTTTTTATTTAACCACTTTCTTCTGTTTTGTTTCTGTCCTATTTTATCGCTAGCTTGCAATGCTTTACTTTCATTGTATCGCAAATGATGCCTTGCTTTGCTTCGCCTTTATGGGATTTTTCTAAGCAAGGTATTCCGTACATAATGCTTTTTTATTTTCAATGACCTAGCTTTAAGGAGTTTGACACTTAATTTTTCTCGTGGGAGGGAGGCTCGTTGACATTTTTTAAAGATTTTCATAGATTAAAAGATGCAATAAACAAGGTCAGTTTAATGTGTATGTTTTTCTTGGGATTTTTGTTGTTCTTGTAGCTTAAGCTTTTCTGTTGTAGAATTGCTCTGGAAGTGATATTCAAGAAGCTGTAGAAAGAGGCACAAAAATGCTGAACTTCAGTAGAGTTGAAGCTGTGAAGCAAATAGCAGCCGATCTTCACTGTCTGCTGAACTACCAAACCCTTCAGACTTCTACAATTGTTCTAGAAAGCTTCAGATTTGCATGGAGTCCAGTTCTAGCTATTATTGGAATTGTGTCTTCAGCTGGCTTGCTTTTTGCACAACATGTAATTGTGGCGATCGCGAGTTTGCCTAACTGTGGAGATGTGGATGCGTCGAAGAGCCAATTTCTCCAATCGATCGTCGCCAAATATCCGATGATCAAACCTCTCCTGAGCCTTTTGCTGTTTTCAGCAGCCTCAATTTACTACTCTGCTCTAATAGCCTTAGCGTTCTGCTTCTTTCTTTTTCTATTCCAAAGAATTCAAAGTCACATCTGCGCGAAAAGAGAACATGGAAACGAAACTCGGCGAAAGAAGTCGTCGCCTAGAAAGACTCACGAAATGCTTCACGAGGAAAGCAGCAGCGAGTCTGTGTCGTCGGCCGTTGCCAATGGCACCAGTAGAAGCTCGAGAACTCGAAGAACGGCATCGTCTAGCCACACGCAAAGAAAGTTTTGAAATAGCGAACGAAAACAAACATATTCATAGTTCATTTCTGTCCGCATTTGTACATTTACATTCCTTGTGTTTGCAAAAAATTGTCTTGTGAATTATAAGTTGTATGATAATCAAAATTCTGTGTTTTTCAAACAAGTCTTTATAAGTCCACTTAAAATGGTTTTTAAATAAGACAAACAATATTGAAAGTTTCTGCTAAAATATTAGTTTTCCCCTATCTTGAGACACATTGATTTTACTATAGCAGACCTCAGCATGAAACTTTAAGTGTTTAATTATATTGTTGCTTGCTAGTACAAAATTATACTGTTAGCTTCATTTTTAATACACTGCTTTTTTCAGCGTCAATTGAACGAAGTTTCGTAAAAGGAAAAAGAATTAAGGTTTACAGTCAATATTTTTTGGCTGTTTGTTGGCTTTTGATTTGTTTTCTAAGTTCACTTCAAGGTTTTTGCTAAATGGTAGTTCTCCAATGAAAAAAGGTGATTGACTATTAGTTGTTAAATAGTAAATTTTAGTTTTTAGAATTCTTGGCGGAATACTAGACTTACCTATGGATGCAGTTTTAGGTTAGTTTGAACCAACAAGAGTCAATCATTTAAGATATCGATTTTCAAAAAGTGTCAAAAAGATAGTTTGTTTTCTGCTTCCCGAAATGTTTTCTGCTTCCTTGAGGTAACAAAGACTTTTCCAACTGTCTGTTGACTAAGTTATTGTTTATCAGATAATTTCGTTTCAGAATCATGAGTTTTTATTTAGTTTAACAGTTACACCCGCCATATTGTAAATGACATCGACTAATCCTCATGTTTCATCAGGCTCAGATTACTCAAAGAACTACCAGAAGCGATCACAATGGAAGAACAATCCTTCCATGACTAATTTCCCAACCCCATCTAACAATCAAATCGAGGAGAACCCTGACATTGAGACAAAACATGACGAGTATTTACTGAAATTAGAAGAACGAAACCGAATGAAAAAACAATTACAGGAGCAAAATGAAGCAGAAAAATTGAAGTTCGAAAAAGAAAAAGGCTTCAATTTGTACATTAACGGGGCAAATACTTCAAGATTTGATACACAAGTTGTAAGTCGAGGTTTGAGAAAGTCGCAGCATCAGCCAACGTCGAGGAAAACTTCAAAAGAATTGGAAAATTGTGGCAACCCTAATGATCATCGAGCAAGAACAGCTCCAGCCAAGCGCAAAAAGTGGACGCAAGATAATGAAATAGAGATACAGACACACAGAGACGGCAAATTGTTATTCGAGGGTTCACAGTTTCAGTACAAGTACTCGGAAGATTTCACGAACAGCGAGGAGCTGGATTCCGGAGTTCAAGTTGCGGAATCGGACGACTACTTGTCGGCGTCGGTAGTTGATACGAGTGAACAAAATTATGCCGACGAGGAATTCAACGAAGAGGCCGACGATGACGAGGTAACTTTCGATCAAAAAGAAAGAGATATTTTGCGACAAAGTTTGAGACTCGACGAAATTTTGAAGGAAAGTATCAGGGAAAGCATAATGGACGAAACCCCCTCGGATAGTGAAATAGCTGAAGACATGCGTGAAAGCGTAGAAATTGATTTTGTAGTTAATAAGCCAAAAAGGACCAAAGAGGTGAAGGTTTTGAAATCTAGCAGTGCCAAAAGCGAATCTAGTAGGTGTTATACGCCTACGGGAAGGTTTAGTCGACCGTACCCTGATAGCAAAGGTACAAATTCTCTGACAAGTTCGTTCAGCAAAGGAGAAAAAGAGTCAAAACTTCAAGAAAACTTCAGTAAAGATGAAACAAAGACTCATGAAACGGTGACGGAAAATACAACATCAGTCATCCAAAGTAACGGCGATGTTAAAAATAATGAAACGAACACCCAGTATGACAACAATGATGTTAAAGACGTGATTGAAAAGTTTAAAAAATTAGGAATTGATCAAAGACGAATGTTACTCGAAGTGCTGTCTCAGGAAAATGGTGATTTATCTGCGCTTATAGCTCCAAAAGAAGTAAAGAGTGCGCGGCCTACTTATACAGTGAGCGACAAAAGCTTCAAGAATGATTCTACTGATGCTCTTTCTAAATCAACTGAAGGCTTGAAAAGGTCAAGTACTAACTTTGAAAAGGTTACGTCGGAAATGCAGGAGCCAAAGTTAGCTGAAAAGTCAAGTGCAATTAAAACCTACAGAGTGAATGATGACGTTGGTTCTTCTGGTGACAAAATGAGTTTGCAGCAGTTGATTCAGAGTCAGTCGTTGTCTTCGGAAACTAACTTGACAGCAAACGAATCGATTGATATCGGTGAAAGTCGAGCGTCGCTACGAAGTGAAAAGTTTGAGCTGAGTTCAAGTCGGCCCGAAAGCCAAGCTTCGTTAGTGTCAATGTCAAGTGGGTTTGAAAAGCCCTCCTCTAGGCCGGGATCTAGACAGAAGGATTTCAACTATCCAAGCTGCTCAGAAATGAATGGAAATCAACTTGACAATTTTGAAAGGTTTATTCCTGTATCAAGCGGCAATAGCGAAATTTGCAAAACGATTTGTCTCAAATTAGTTTCAAATTGGGGCGACCCAGTTCAAATTGGTCTAACTGGAGTTCAATTTCTGGGTGAGAATAATGAAGAAATTGTCTGTTCAAAATTTTCGGTTATCAACGCTCTCGATCAAATTAGCGACGTGAAAGTTCTACTGAACAAAAAAATGAAAACTACAAAATCTTCAAATATGTGGTGTTGCATGTATACAAAGTACCCTATCGAGTTATTTTTCTCATTGAATGCAGCAAAAAAGTTAACGACCATCAAACTTTGGAATTTCAACAAATCGCCGAAAGAATTAAATAAAGGAGTTAGGAATTTTGAAGTTAAGATCGATAATGTTTTAGTGTTTAGTGGCGAGCTGGAAAAAGGGTGTGGGAATCATATCTTCGATTATGAGAAAATCATTCACATAGAAGAAAAGCCGCAAGTTTCATTAGATAGAAGTAATTCTATCTCAAAGTCATTTGTTCTAGCGCCTGATTCGGCGAGAAGTAACACGTTCAATCCTCCTACTGCGAGTGTAGCTGATGTTACGTGTCCGGATGATTCTGAGTTCTCGTTGGAGGAGCTTTTGACTCAATCAAGTGGCCGAAAACCAGTTTTAACTAGTCAGCAGAAAGATAAAACAATGCCGAAGAAAGTTGAGCCAGCGGGAGTCAAGCCGAAAAAATCCGACAAGACGAAACGAAAACAGTTAGCAAAACTGTCTGGAATTTTCGATTCCCTGGATCTGACGACCAACGAAGAATTTCACTACCAACCAACTCCGGTGCCGGATGTCAAAGGAAGTGACAATGAATCTGCAAGAAAATCTGACTATAACGAAGACCCAATTTCCGCTCTGAACGATCGACTCGACGAGAGTTGGTCTCATATTTTTGCCTTCGAGAGAGCCAGGTCAGGACGTGAAACGGCCGCAGAAAAGAAAAGTTTGGATGTTTTAAATGAACTGGAGCCAAAAATTTGTAGCACGAAAGGTGCCCCAATGTCTGTTCGAACTTTTTCGACTGACAGTAACGCCTCACTTGGAGATAGTCAGTCCTTACCGAATTTTGAATCTGAGCTTAGATCCGTAGATTGGGATTCTTTCACGATTCCAGAATTACCATCCGGAACAAGGCTAGTTGTCAATATTTTGTCAACATGGGGTGATAAACACTACGTTGGGCTGAACGGAATTGAGTTGTTTGACAGCCGAGGCCAAAAAGTCAAGTTCGCGAAAATCGAAGCGGATCCCTCGGATATTAATGTGTTACCAGAATACTCAAAAGATCCAAGAGTTGTGACAAATCTCATTGATGGTGTGAACAATACACGAGATGATACGCATATGTGGCTGGCCCCTTTTACAGCTTCACAGAATCATTTTGTCTTTCTGACGTTAGAAAAAAGTTGCACATTGGCAATGATGAGGTTCTGGAACTATAGTAAGTCACGCGTACACTCGTCTCGAGGAGCGAAGTTGATTCAAGTTCACTTAGACGGAAACCCAATTTTCAGAGGGGAGATCCAACGAGCAGGGGAATTGGGCGAAAATTTCAAAGAGACTTACGGAGATACAGTTATGCTAACAATGGATGCGAATATATTGAGCATGGTGTCTGAAAACGACGAATTGTTTTTGAACGACTGGAATGAAAGTTTGAACTGCGATGAGTCAGATCGACCAATGACAGCTGGCGAAGATAGTGATGTCAGACCGATAACTGTGGCGTCGAATCAGAAGCCAGGTTGCATAAGCGACTGCGCTATCGAGAGCATGTTCGACATAGATAGTCAAGGTGAGCAGCCAAAAGTTACAAATAGGTGTAATAAAGTAGTGTTTGAGTTGCTGGAACCGTGGGGCGACGCGTTTTATATGGGCTTAACAGGTCTTCAGTTGCTAGATGAAAGTTTGCGCCCAATAAAAATTACAGCTGCCATGATTAACGCCAGTCCTACAGATCTGAACACTCTTCCTGAATATACCAAAGACGTGAGAACGCTTGATAAACTGATTGACGGGGAAAATCTAAGCAATGACGACCGTCATATGTGGCTTATACCGTATACTCCAAATGGCAAACACCTATTGACTATCAATTTACCCGAGGACGCAAAATCAGTTGCGGGTTTTGACGTTTGGAACTACAATAAGAGTTGGGAAGATTCGTTTCGAGGAGTGAAAAGACTCAAAGTCTACTTAGACGAAAGCGAAGTGTCGCCTGCAAATGCAGGTTTTACCCTAAGAAGAGCACCGGGTCATACGAGCTATAATTTCCGGCAACGAGTTGAGTTCAATAAATACTCGCCGTATCAAGGCGAAATCCCAGACTGCCCTTGTGGTTTTGTTTACACGATTATGATTCAAAGTAGCCAAAACGACCTTTACTACGTTGGCCTTGACGGCATTGAGTTGCTTGATGATCGAAACGTGAAAATCCGAGTGAAAGCGAATCAAATCGATGCCTATCCACGAAGCGTGAACGAATTGGAAAACGCCAAGTCGGATATCCGAACTCCCGACAAGTTGGTTGACGGCGTGAACAGTTCACGAGACGGAAGTCATTCTTGGTTGGCGCCCATTTTTCCGAAAGCTAATAACAAAATCTACTTAGTTTTCGACCAACCTCAACCAGTGTCTCAAATACGAGTCTGGAATTATTCCAAAACACCTTCTAGAGGAGTTAAAGAAGTGGCCGTTTTGGTTGATGATTTGATCCAGTATCAGGGAGTTTTGAAACCAGCGATGAATGTAGCAAGGGGAATTTTACCCGGAATGGAAGCAGAAGTGAGATGCCAAGTGATTGACTTGAAAGGTTTCAACCCTGAACAAAATGAGGTTCAGCTGGAAGATCCAAATCAAGTGCATGATAGTGTTAAAGTACAGCAGACAGCAACTGGCAACAACAGCAGTGATTCCGCGAATCAAAGAAACAGACCAAAGACGTGCGTTCCCAGAAAATAGTTTTGAAAAAGACAAGCAAATGGCTATATGGATTAGAACTTTTTGGAACTTAGCTGTGAAAAATTTTGTTCAAATTTCAATGTTCTATGTTAATTGTATAAATAGATTGTCAAGTTTGTGAAAAGTGTATATAGTAGTGTAGCCAAGTCATACATGTATGTAAATAGTCGCTTGTAATTTAAAATCTTGAGTAAGTTTTTCTCAGTATTACGCTTGCAGCTAACGAGCGTTATCAAATCAGACTATAGAAGTTTTCGAGGTTAACATTGAGTGGGTCATTGGGTATTGTGCTTTATAATCAATAAAGAACGCATTGTCCATGTTTGGATAACGTCCATGCTTGGGATGACAAAGGCGTGTAGTTCGAGTCTTGGTAGAACCTTAACTTTTTGCAAACTGGAAAATTTCAGCTACGAAAAAGGTTGTCTATCTTGTTTATTTTTGTTGGCTTAGTTACCGCAGCAAGACTTTCTTTTTAAAGTCCGCTGGCTTAACTGTTTCAGAATTTTTTTCAATATTACTAATGGTACAATTAATTGAGTTTCAAGATTTTTTGCGACTACATAGTAAGTTTGTTTTATGAAAATTTTGATCATTATTTTGGTTGATTCATTTCGCTCCTTTTCGTTGAGTTGAGATTTGTGTCTTGATTTTTCACATTTTTCGTGTTTTCACGAGAGCAAGAGGACTTTTTCCGTCATCATTTTTCTTGAAAAACAAAGAAAATGAACTAGCTTTCTTTTTAAACCTAACATTTTTCAGGCTCCTTTCCCACTTGGTCTAGGGTAATGCGGTTGCTTCTGCGCTCTAAGGTCTGGGTTTCAAGTCGCGGTTGGACTTTGTTTTTTTCAGTATGTATCGAATTGATTATTCCCTTAGAAACAATTTAGGACGGTTGCATTGTAAAATTTTCCAGTTTTAATAGTTAATCGCTCGGAATTTTTGATGGCAACAGATTGTTATTGCAGTTTTTTGTTTTCAGCTCAGTGAAGCACTATCCAAGTTTTGTCAGCGTGCTGACTGCTCCGAAAATGATAAGATCTTCTCCAATGTTTTTTTTGTTTACTTTTTCATATATATTTTTCAAATATATATTTAACGATTTTATAATATCTGTCTCATTTCCTAGTCGCTAGCTTGCAATGCTACTTTTGCATTGTATCGTAAGCAATACAAAACTCCGCTTAGACTTTTTTTAAAATTTGGAAAGAAACTCCGAAAGAACGAGTTTTTCCATTAATGACTTCTTGAGGTGGTTAAGCATTTCAAATGAGCGTTTTTGAAATGGAAGTGTGTAAATTATGGTTTGTGGCTTTTCTGAAAAAACGTTAGATTTTCATAATTTGGTTTTTTCACGCAGTAATTTTCTGTAACTGTGTAGAGATTCCTACTCTATATAAAAAAACTTTTTGTGGCAGATATTTTTGTGCCACAAGTGATGCTTTTCGCCTCCGTAATAGGAAAAAAATCGTAATAAATAGTTAGTTTGATTAACTTAGGTTAATTATTGCAAACTAGAGTAAATAAAAGAAAAAATTTAATAGAGCCAAAAGTATCCCCTGTGCTAGAAGACTCCTTTTAGCATTCAAAAACTTGCTCCTGAGTTCAAAAATCCAATATTTAATCATTGAGCTTGCTTGTATCGCAAACAAACCTAATTTAAAAAAACTCAAAACTATATAAACATGAATCACTTGTATTAATCTCATCGAATTCTGATCACTTGTATTAATTTGTATTAATGATCACTTGTATCTCATTATCTCGAGCACTTGTATTAATGTGTTGATAACTAGGCTGAGACAGTTTGACAGCTTTTTGGACAGTTTAGTTTTTTGGGTTGCATACGCAGCACTTCATCGATAACTCCCATTTGTAATTAATCGGTTGTTCATCTAAATAAGTTATTGTTAACCACGTTAATGAGTCTCTTGAGCTCATTGAAAGTGACAGACAAGAGATTCGAACCCACGAACTTCGCTTGAAGGGTCGAGTGTCTTATCCATTCGGATAAGAAGATAGTGTGTAATGCAGAATTTTGTGTAATGCAGAATTTTGTGTACTAAAGATAGTTCGAATTTTGTGTAATGAAGATAGTGTATGGAGTAATTTTATCAGCTTAAATATCACCGACGATAAAATTTATTGCTAAAAAACATCATAATATTCAAATTGAATATCAGCATTTTCCGGCGTCAAAACTTAAATCAGCTTAGAAGAGAGCAAACAAATTGTAGCAAATTCCCCTGATGCAGCGGCTTTGCCTAATTTTTTTACAGGAAATTTATGGTCCTCGGTGAAGTGAGTTAGGACCGAGTTGGTTAACTCATAGAGTAATTTCGGATAGGGTACACCGTCTGCTCGTCACGCTATCTTATTTTCGGCCGGATAGATTCGTGCAACTTCTTAGTCTAATACCGATCCTAATCTTACTCTTATACTATCTAGTCTCAGGTTGTTTAACTAGTCTCTGCTAGGCTCAATAGATCTAGGGTATACTGGTTTATTGCGGCTGCTGAAGTGCTCGGGAGAGTCCAACTAATTTCTAAGTTAAATTCAAATCTCTCTGGTGCTGAAATTACAAGTAACTTCAGCACTTACAAATAAGTGGGTTGTTAGTTAGATGGATCATGATTGGTTAATATTAAATACTTTACATTGGTAAAATATCTAAATTATCCAATCATAAAATGTAGTTTAGATCAGGTTCCACCCATCCGGGTTTTACAGAGTTTTTTAGAATAGTTCTTCTGCAATTCGAAGGATGGATGATGGAAGTTGGTGTTTGGCGAACATCTTATTTCTTCTGTTTCCTTTTTGTTAAAGAAGTTCCAGGAAGCTGGAGTTAGAGACATAAGACGTTGTGTCTTCTAGTGACAACGACTAAGTCTTTGCAACAAACTCAAATCTGATTTCAGAATGGTTGGCTATGTCAGGTTTTTCTGTTCTGCGTGGAGAACTTCTTTTGTGTCTGATCTAGTTTGGGAATGGCGTGGAGATTGTGCGTGGAGGGGATGCCTGGTTACTCGGATCTGTACGTATACTTGAACATCGAGGTGGTCATTGGTCTAGTTCAATGAAGTCCTTTTCTGCGAAGTCAAGTCGTACTCTAAATCCTTTGAGTTGTGATTGTGAGTGGCATATCGATTGTGGTTGGTCATTCTCTCTCGAGTGTAGTGGGGTCGTTTTGTCTTTGGATGTTCGTCCTTGGTGTTGTATTCTGATCTATGTATTGCATAATGTAATTTACATTTTATAAAACATTTATTAGTTTAATATTTTTTAGTTATGATTTTAGTTAGTTGTTTTCACAAAAGCTTTTTGTTTTAGTTCGGTTATTTTGAAGAGTTACTCACACTTGAGTAGCTCTTATTAAAAATAGAGGTGTGGTCACAAAGCGTGGATGTAGCACGGTGGGTTAGGCCGGCTATAGAGCATGCTCAGGACGTCCTTCCTGGTGGGTTAGGCCAGGAGTGGGAGTATGATTTCATGCGGTTTTTTGTGAGGGGTCCTGTTATGTGACAACGTTTTATGTTGGGTTTGTTGTGGTTTTTCTTATGTTTTGTTGGTTGTGTCCTTTTTTCAAAAATCAAATTGTTTGTGGTATGGGTTTGTCTTTCGACTTTTGTGTGTTTTATTATTTCTTTCTTAGACTTTATAATAGTCTTCAAAAGAATAAATTATCCAGTTTTAAACTGGGTTAATCCGGTTTGGGTACCGTTGGTTTCCTTTTCTTAGTCATGCTGTTATTCTATGATTTGTGGTATTTAGTAAGCTGCGTTGGTTAGTTTTGTTTAGTATATGATTCCTTTCCAACCGGGTTAAAGGAAAGTTTGAAACATGTTATTATATGTTAGAGTTGTTGAGTGTGAAAACTTGAAACTGAAATTCATTATTTTAAACAATTCTTCGTGGGCGAGCTGTGCGAGTGTGGATAGAATTTCTGTGCGAATGAATGAAAATATCAAAAGGTTAGTACTGCAATTGCATTTTATTAATTTACTGCATAGAATCTGGAAATTTACTGCTAGTTATGGGGGAATTTTAAGTTACAAATTTTCATCATAATTAAATTTACTGCTTGTGGGGAAAATTTTAGAAATGAATTTATTGCATTGGTATTAAATTTATAAATTTATAAGTGTAAGAGATTAATAGAATTGTTGAAGTCTGTTTGATGAAATTTGCGATCTTTATTTGTTTTTTGTGGTTTTTGTAGGTGATCGTCGGATGAAGGCTAAAAATCTAAGGAAAACATGGATAAAGTATGGTGAGTTTTTTAATATTTCAATTAGTTAGTTATATTCATTTAATTCATACTTACCTGTTAGTCGTCGGGGAAAAAACCGTGGGGGAAGATGTCGTGAATTAGTTCTGAAGTTGTTAGTAGTTTAGCTAAGATGCGGATGATATTTTTAGTCTGAAGCAGTGGCCAAAGCAATTGAAGTGCCTTAATAGTGGTTAGTTCTTCAGTGCCAACTGCAAACTCATAAGGTGTGTTTTGGATTAGATTATATAATTTGTGATTGAATTTAGTGTTGTGGATGAATTCTAAAATTGGGATTTCTATGGGTTGTACAAACTCGTGCGGGAGAAGGAAGGGTCGGGATTCTTCGGCGTTGAAGGTCTTGGTGATGGGACAGAAGATGTACATTTGGGTTATGGGGTCATAATTACGAAGAATACCATGAAGGTTAGTATCTTTAATACAATATGTGAAATTTAGGAAAAATGGTGAAGTGTATTTGGAATTAATGAATTGAAAACGATGGTGTGGTTGTCTAGAGGGTGTGTGTAGGTCAAAGTGATTTTGGATGAAGCGATAATAACTATATGTGTGGGTTTGTTTAGTGCGCAACATAATATCGTGTGAGCAGTGTAAATCTCTTTCGTGTGGTGCAAGGAAATGAAAGGTTAGTGAAAATATTTGGAAGCGTTCTTTAAAACTTTCGTATGCTTGTGTGTCTGTTAGTGCTTCTGAAATAATGTGATCAAACTTTCGGTCGAAAATGTTTAGTGTAAATATATATGGTGTCTTGATGAAAAATTTCTCAGTAATTTGTGGATTAGCGAAGCGATCGTCGTCTAAGAATTGATCTTGGTTAGCTCTGATGATGTTGTGATCATAGTATTCGAGTGTATATTCGTTAGCTCTAGGTGCAGT